TGGTTAGAATAAAGTGTTCATAACACCAAGTTCAAGGGTTCAGATCCCTGTACCAGCCAGCTGCCAAAACAAAAAACACAAAGACCATCTAGTCATCAGAGATTTCTGGTCAATTTCACATTTATATTTGTAGAGGGAATATATGAAAGAAGGCCCTTCCTTGGAAAAAAGTTTTCATATCTTAATACCTAATCCTGGAGCTGGAAGGAAGTTTCAAAGCCCACCCTGTTCAACTCGTTTTATAAATAACTACATCCAGGCACATACTGTAATGGTCCATGGTACAAGCTGTTCAAGGGGCTTGGCTAATGTTTTTTAAAAAATGAGGAAGAAAGAAATCAGTCATTTAAACACCATGTTGTGGATCTTCGCATGCAGGGACTAGAAAACCCTAATAAAAAACTCAGCAACAAAAATTTCATTAACTAAGGGGACAAAACTGGCTTGGGCTGCCCAGCATAGAGATGGGAACTGGAGCCCTTCCAGTTTCCCTTCTTCAGGGGCGAGGCAGCAACTGACCTAAGTTCCTCAAGAGACCCCTGACCTTACATGTGTGCTTTTTATGCTGTATCAAGACAACATCAGGTAAGGGTATCCACTAGGCTCTAGTTAAGCTACTTCTACATTTAAGTATAAAACTAATAACCCCCAACTTAGATAATCACAAGCTGACTGCTAATAAGAAAGCATTTAAAGACCTTCTAATTTTGGAAGTTAACATTTTCAAACTTTATGGATTTTTACATGAATGGCACAAAGAAGGCTGTTACTAGCTACCATCAAAATACTTCATAACAAAGTTTAAAGAAAAAAACAAAAAGGAAACAAAAATACTTCTAACAAATAGTGCTGAGTAAGAGGCAGAAGTAAAGGAGAGGATAGTCTCTGGATCCTGTTCTACACATTATAATAAACACACAATTTGCTATGCTCCTATTTAAAGTGAAAATATCTATGACCAATGCTATTTTAAACAAACAAAATCAGGTTAATTCAAATAAATATCCTTTATTAAAGAAAAAAAAATATTGTTAAGCACCAAAACTGTATGATGTTACATTGCATGTACAATAAGAGAAAGGTGATTGCAATACTTGGTGTACAAGTACTTAACTCTGAAGTCATGAGTGTAAAAAACATGAAATACAAAGCAATACAATAATTACAATGCAGAAAAGTTGCACTAAAGAGCAAAGGGTAACAAACAGAACAATTACTGGAGATTTCATAGTATTGCTATAAATGCTTGCGTAGTTTTTTCTTTGTACTTTTAATACTTTAGAATGTTAACAGCATATTTAGTTATTGTAAATTTGCAAGAATTGGAATTTACAATACACTGTGCACACTGTCCATTTAACATAAAGGGTAAAGTCATCCTTAAAAGCCAAGCATGACGTGCTAGTGTTTTGCTTCTACCTTTATAATATTGCACAAAGCTAGTAAATGGTGAAATCAGTCTGTCATTAAAATTGAAAAACATGTCAGTCTTGTTAGCCCTAATAGGCTTTAATTCATGCAAAATGATGTGTAGCCTCCCATTTTTCATGAACTACATTATGGTTTCACACTTGGCAAGACATACAGTACAATAAGAAATTTAATGAGACAGTAGGGATTCTGTCAAAGTAGAAGTCACTGTGTAGGCTGCATCATCTACCCCTCTTGGTTCATAAATGAAGGGAAAATGCCACATTGTGATTATGGAGACTTCTTAAAACCAATATAATTATTATGGGAAAAGCTGGAATAACTTGTAATACCCATTGATAGTTAACCATAGAACATGCAAGTAAAAAAAAAACCTCAAAATTTCCCTTGTTAAAACTGAACTCTATAACCAACACCCAAATCTGTTTTCATCTAAACATCACTTTTCAAGGTTTTTCCTACCCACCCTTGACTCCCCAAACCACTTTTAGTTGTATTTGAATTAAGAAAAAAACCCCAAAAAACAGAAAAACTTTCCCTTAACTCTCAAAACAAATGACTGCTTTGAGATTCAGTATGAAATACCATTCATAAAATATTTAGCATGTCAACCTCAGAAGTATTTCCTGTACATGCACCTTACAGTGGTATAATAAATGTTTGTAGAAGGGGAGAAACATTTATAAATTTGGAATTCAAATTCTACAAATGCAAGTTGTACACTTACTTTGGGCAAAACAGAAAATTTCAGAATAAACATCTTTGAAATAATTCAATGGACAAACATTTAATACACGCACACACAATGAATCCAGACTCCCTCCCACCTTTAAAAACCTTTACATACATGATAGTTTAGGCAGCAATATAAACTCATTTTATAAGAAAAACTTTTAAATTACACTATATTTATAGGATAAAAAATGTCATTGCTTCATTTTACAAAGCAATCAAGCAGAGACTTGTCTTAATGTGCTTTAACTAAAGAGCACTTTGCAGCAAAGTTCAGAAATAACTACTGTATTGTTCAGTAGCATTAAATAAACGCAACATGCTCCATATTAAGGTGCTTCTACTTTCTTACCCCTCGTCCATCTGAAATAAATCTTGCTGATTAATCTTAGTGTTACTAAACACTTTATTTTTCTATGCTAAGCAATAAATGGGAAATCTATTTTAAATGCACATTTTACTTTATATTATCATTCATATTCAGTGCAAGAATTAGAAAAAATTTATGGTGGCATCTTAATGTGTCTGCAATAGTTCTGAAATGTTTTACAGCTGTTCGGTTTTTACAAATAACCTGGTAAAGTGTATGAAATTTCACCTCCCTGACAGGGCCTTTAAGGACCCAATAGTACTTGTACTTTACAGGTTGGTATCTCATGTTAAGTGCATAACTATTAATAAAGCTGATAAAACACTCACATTTAGTGAACAAAAAAGCTTTCCTTAGGCTAACAGCATTGACTTAAATTTATACAAAAATTAAAAAATGGAGTCTCAGGGAATGTATAAAACTAAATTTTATTAATTGTATACTGATATCATTCCAAATAGAGAGATGCTGCTCATTAGTTTTTGTTCCACTGATTTAAGAGTTTTAATTATGAATGTCTACTATGGCCAAACTATGCTTTACAATTTAACACATTGTATGACTTTTAGTGGCCATGCCACGTTACCAAATATTGCTACATAGTTCAACTTTGCAGAAACAAGAATTTTTTCCCCCCCATTATACAGAGTAAGTGAAAGTGCTGAAAATTTTCTATGATTTCATATTATGGGAAAAAGCTCTGTATTTCCTCTGTGGAAATACTACACTTCGTCGGCTATTACAGTTGTGTCTAAGTCTCCTTAGAAATGAATTTTATAGAAATATTTCAGATCCACAATGAAGAACTAAGAGATGACTGTTTTCATGCTGCTCACAAATTCTATAAGCCTACAAAATTTACCTCAAATAAGCCAAACAATTGTTCATCTTTCAGAAATCCCATTTAGCCAGACAACCAGGATTTTAAATCATTAGGAATACTTTTTTTTATATGCTGCACTGGTTATATATACATAATTTTGGTTACATTAGTAGGAGAAATATTTGAAATGGACATTCAAGTGAGCAGTAACATTAATCTCAAACATCCTAAAGTCATCATCTATTTGTTTTCCCTATTTCAAATAAACTGCAGTTGAGACAAGATTGGTTAATTAACTTCTTAAGCAAGCAGGTGGTTTGTGGGTATAGAAATGATACAATAACAGAAATATAACTGTCAAATATTTTGAACCATATAAAAAGTACAGGCAAGACTGAGATTGGAACTGGAAACGTGATCATCTATAAGTACCATGATAACTAAATACAAACAAGTTTTATATTAAGGACAAAGATCCTCATTTTACTAGGGGCAAGGATAAACAACTAACCATTGCTTACATAATTTTTATTGGGTTCTGAAACTGCTTTAAAATTAACAATGAAGGTTCTCAACTGGTAATCTTATCTGATGGACAAAAAGGCCCAATTATCTGAAATTTTACTATTATCTGTAAAGAACTCCAAAGGTTTGTGACCTGCTTTAATTTGTAATTTTGTGTAAGTAGAAACCTGAATCTTGAGGAGGGAAAATGGGTGTGCTAGAGAAAGTTATTCATCAGAGAATGAGCACAGCTGGCTATCAACAAGGCTCTGCTTTACCCACTTTATTTTCAAATGTGAGGCAACTCTCACGGGATGTGCTGAGAGCCGTGGATGCATCCCTACAAGGGTTAGTAGAGTTCGATACACCTTCTATTATTTGCTAGAGACTTATTACAACATGGCTCAGGAAGACAGAGCGCAGGACCCTCCTATAAGTGAGCCTGTTTTATAATGGAGCTCTAGTTCTAACACTAAATGGGTAGCAATCCAGAGCATATGAGGGTCCCAGTGTTTTTTGTTAATTTAACACTATATCCTTCTATACTTTTCTAAAGTTGAATAAACGGAAAAAACTTAGGTTATGAACAAGCATCCAAAACCTGGATACATGAAAAACTGGATGGCCTAAAAATGATATACGATTTTTTAAAGGTTTTCAAATTTGCTTTAAAATTTTTCCAATATATTAACAATCTAACCAATCACTCTTTGGGTTAAAAAAAAAACATGTTTTAGTGCTTTACTGAAGGTATATAGGACAACCACCTCCCCAGCCCCCCAGCCATGGGCTGTTTATATATTAGATTTGTACTTCTAATCTTCCCAGACAAGATGTAGGAATAGTGCTAGGATTAAAACCAATGTATTATGAAAATGCTGCATAGAAGCTCCTAGTCTCATCAATAAACATTATCAACATTTAAGCAGATTTTGTTTCATATAACTTGCTGCCAGAAAATTTTCTCCATAATTATTTTAAAGAAAATCTTTTTTTTTCTTTTTTTAAAGATGACCAGTAAGGGCATCTTAACCCTTGACTTGGTGTTGTCAGCACCACGTTCTCCCAAGCAAGCTAACCAGTCATCCTATATAGGGATCTGAACCCATGGCCTTGCTGTTATCAGCACCACACTCTCCCAAGTGAGCCACAGGCTGGCCCAGAAAATCTCATTTTAAAATGACAAGGGTGTGAGCATTTTCTTCTTCAGAAACACCAATTCATATACATTGGAGGGCTTTTACTCTAGTACTGCTGTCTGGGTCTGGGTCTGGGCCAGAGAACTGCCTTATAAAAAATAAAAGTTCTTTTTGGTACTTCTGTCCTTAGCTCCCTCCATATAAAGGCAAAGACCTATCTTATGCAGAATTACACTCTACAGAGTACTATAAACTGGGTCCCATATATCTACCTTCATTCAAGCCCACAACAGTCCTGCTGAAAATCCATAATGTCTCCATTCATATAAATGTATCCTTCAGGACTCCATTACAACAAATCAGCACCTAGAGCTACATACATACGTTTAATAACTTAGTGACAATAACAAAGGTTCTCTCCTAAAATCCCATTCAAAGCATATGAAGATAGTGAAATGCCAGGCAAGGAGACTTTTCTGCTTGTCTAGTTTCTGCATCTTTGTAGAGAACATGCTTTTCACCGTGGAGCATAAAAACTTAAAATGGTGCATGATAAAAAGAGTTAAGATCTGCATCCCTATTAATGAATCTTGATTTTTTTGATTCTTAATAGGAAAGTCATGTGAGTTACAGTAATCAAGCAATAGTTCAAAGAAAAAAAGACTAATAAGTTGAAATACTATCAAATTACGAAGTATTGCTTCTCATAAACGATGTTGCACATAAAATTCAAACTATTATAAATTCTGAATATGAAGAGTTGTTTAAAAGTAAAATTTTTTTACTTCAAAACCTTACAAAGTGTAAGATTGTGTGGCCTTCTAAAAATATGCCATGTTAAATGTATCGTGTTGTGGTAAACACATTAAATAGGTGTATCTCCATCGCTATGTATCTTTTCAGATGTTGTTGAACATCTTTATGAAAATTCCTTTGGAGATCAGTGATGTGAACTTTTAAGTGCATTTCCATGTGATTTCTTTTAATTCCTGATGTATAGCTATTATGATGATACACTTTTTTCAGTGTCACACTATTTATATAGAAGAAGCTCTGTATTTTCAGATTTTTCAGTGCACTGAAAGATGGATCTCAAAGCAGTCCCAATACAGCTCACAGTAGATCTGTCAACCCAGTGTTATTCCAATTCATCATGACCCCTAGCTTAATTGGCCACTACAAGGATGTAAATGGGTGGACAGGAGGGGGAGATGCATAAAAAAACGGAATCTCCAGAAGGCCTTTCCTCGATTGCAGTCAGAAACATTGGACTTAAACTTATGTTAACCACCATCTACTGGAATGACTGGAAAGCAATAATCTGCCAGTTGTACTTCCTTTTTTTCCCCCCGACACCAATGAGGCAATACACTTTGGATCTAATGGAATCCAATTTCTGGAACCAAGTGCTTAAACTGTTGTTTTCCAAAAGAATCAGAACCAATCTTCAGCGGTAGGTATTTTTCTTCTTTCTGTTAAGTTGCCTGTTAACAAAGAAAATAACACAGTGTATTTTAAAAAGATGACCTTTTAAAGATTGTATGTACATATGTTCCCTCACACCTTTCACAATATCCAGGATGAACACTGATTTTTTTCTTAAAGATGGCCATTTATATGGTGTGCAGGAGACTTTTTTTTTTTTAAGTGCACTGAAAGAATGTATTTGTATTCTTAAAGCAATAAAAAATGAAAACATAATTTAACTGTAAGGGTACTTCAAAAAGTTCATGGAAAGATTAATATTAATTTTAATTCTATTTTTCCACAAACTTTTTTTTTTTTTTTAAAATGACCGGTAAGGGGATCTTAACCCTTGACTTGGTGTTGTCAGCACCACGCTCTCCCAAGTGAGCCACGGGCTGGCCCTTCCACAAACTTTTTGAAGTGTCCTCATAAATATTGATCACTGTTAAAAGGTTGTTAGATTCATTCTTGTTCCTTTTATTTTACCACTTTATGTCAAAACTATATACTAAAAAGGTAGCTTCACTCTAAAATATTTGCCTCATACACTGTCAGTAGAATAAGAACTATAAAATGGTATCTTAAAAATTCAATAGGGAGTATTTTTGTTATGTTGCCATTCAGCGGACAGAATACTTACTACATGTGGCTACTGAGCACTACATGTGGCTAATGTGACTGAGAGATTAAAATTTTTAGTTAGATTTATTATTTATTTATCTATTTATTTATTTTTAAAGATGACTGGTAAGGGGATCTTAACCCTTGACTTGGTGTTGTCAGCACCACACTCTCCCAAGTGAGCCATGGGGCCAGCCCCTAAATTTTTAGTTAGATTTATTATTTATTTATCTATTTATTTATTTTTAAAGATGACTGGTAAGGGGATCTTAACCCTTGACTTGGTGTTGTCAGCACCACACTCTCCCAAGTGAGCCATGGGGCCAGCCCCTAAATTTTTAGTTAGATTTAAACTACCAATCTGAAACATCATAAAATATTCTTCCACTAAATACAGTTTTATTGTTTTGATAGAACATTTCTCTTTAACTATTGAGTACTTAGCATTCGAATTGAGATGTGCTATCAGCAAATATAAAATACACACTAGACTTTGAAGACGTAGTACAAACAAAAAGGTGACATTGTGAATTTATGTTGATTACATGTACTATATGAAAGGTACAGTTTTAATACGTTGGGTCAAATAAAATATTACTAAAATTAATTTCACATTTTCATTTTTACTTTCTTAATGTGACTATTAGAAATTTTAAAATTATATCTGTGCCTCACATTATACTCTATTGGGCACTACTATTATAATTACTTAAGTTAAAGAGTGTTAAGGGTCCCATGGGAAACAAATTAGAAACTGGTTTTAAAAGTCTATATAATTACATACATTCCTCATATTTACAGAAATCCCCTTGAAGGATACTATCAACTACGCTATCTGTGAAAAGAGTTTCAGAGGGGAATAAAGAAGAACAGGGGACCTTCACTTTTTACTTCGTAAAGTTTTGCGAAATTAGCTCTTGTTAAAAAAAAAAAAGGGTATATAATTAAATTAATGACGTGAAATCTACAAGAAAGGAATCTGTTAAATTAACAGGAAACAAAAATTACAGCTTTTTTATTAGCCATTTGTAGAGAACTATCTAAAAGTTCAGAATCTCTGAAAATTATTCCACAAGATCACAAAACAGTGAGACACAGCTCCTTTTATCACTGCCTGATCAGTCGGTGGGGATTACAACAATGGTTTGCTTCTGGCCTGGGATATATTCAGCCCTTAAAGAGTGACTTTGCAGATATCTGAGCTCATACATTATCTGAACGTGTTTCTTAGTTTCTCTCTCAACACTGTACCACATATACAAATAAATAAGCCTCCTACAACCCCAAAAGAGTTTTAAGCAGTTTTCAAAGTGGTATGGCAACATATTCTTAACATCTGATAGTAAAGCTAAATTAGCAACCAGAAGCTATAAATAACATCCCAGCCACTTGAGTGTACAAAATGCTGATGCAATGTCTATGTGTTAGGCAGGATATGGTTAGATGGGAGAAGACAGACAAGGATGGGCTGGCCTGAGCAGCTGCTGGTGTGCTGTGACTGGGCCACTGCAAGCCAGCTGTAATGAAAGAACTAAACGCACATTAACTCCACAGCCAGGCCTTCACACAAATCAATCACCACTAAAATGGTAGTTTTAGGCACAGGCTTAAGCAGCTCCCTGAGAAGCTAGAAGCAGAAGGAGACAACACTGTAAACAGCAAGACTTGTAAAGTGGGAGACAATATACAAATATTCACTGAGGAAAAGATTCCCAGTCAGACAAACCCGAATCTCTAGACATTCACACACTGAAGAGACACACAGACACATTTACATTTCTTTACAAAGTATAGTATACATCTGTATAAGGAAAAATAGTTTGAAATGATTTAGGGATCCAGAAATAGTAAGTCATTACAAAGTGCCTATAATAAGGGCCTCTATACATAATAGGAAAAAAGCAGAACAATGGTACTATTCAATGTTGGCTGAATCATGTTAAAGGACACACACAACCACATATCAAGAATGTGGTTTTTCACCCTTTTAGTAGAGCTACTGATTGGTGCAGATGCTGACGGAAAAGGACAGGGTAGACAAGCACTACAGGAACATTTTCCTGATAGATCCACATCCACAAGGAACAGGTGAAATTGCTTTAGTAGTATTTTATTTGACATAACCAAAATAGTATCTTTCAACATGTAATCAATATTTAAAAACTGACATAGATTGCATTTTTGGACTAAGTCTTCAAAATCCAGATGTGTACCTGCACATACATAAGATCTAACTCAGAGTCCTTGAATCAAGGACAGGAATCTGCATTTTTAGTAAGCTCCCTAGGTTAGTTCTTATGATCAAGTATGTGTAAGAATCACTGTGCTAACAAATAAGTTAATTATTCCTTTGCTTACTCCCTCCAGGACTAAAGTCCTCCCTCTTTGGTGAACGTTCTGAAGCCCATAGAAATATATTCCATCAAAAGATCATAATAATTTATAGAATATGTTTGCATGTTAACTACATTTTGCACAAATTACATTTCAGTTATCATTACCAATCCTATATAATATTTAATTTATAGCATGCGTTATCATTACTGATTCTATATATTTAGTATAATTTATGCCACATTACTCTATCTAGCTCATTAAAAAATAGTGGACTGCAGCTCTCTGTTACCTTAGGAGAATGTCACATGTGTAACCAGAGAAACTTAATATGCACAGGGATATTCAATAAATTATGTACAATTTTTACATGTTTATTAATAGCTGCAAATCTATCTAGACAATGCAGTAACTAATAAATCTTTATAGTGTTAAAGGTTTAGAAAGCTAAAGAATCAGACAATGCAACAATTTTTCTAGACTAATCTTACAAAACTCCTTTGCAGGCAGCTAATAAGACATCAAAATTCAATATGCATAATAGTTTATAACTGAAGTACTTAGAAAAAAGCTTTTCTGTTTTTTAAGGCAAAAATAAGACTGTCACTTTACTTGGAATACAGCTCTATGGCAGAAATTTTTAATGAGTAGGATATAAAAAACAGCATTTACTTTACTTAGCAATAGTCCCTAAAAAGTGCTTTTCTTACCCTAAGTTTCTAAAAACTACGGAATTAAGTGAAACCTTAAATTTACAAATTTATATAGCCCATGCTATAACTGAGCCATATAATAACCAATAAGCCTCGGACTCAGTAAAAAATACCAGACCCCCATCATCCAATGTAAAAGCTGTATTACTGAATGCTACTAAAGAAATAAGGCCATTTACTTATTAGTTCTCCCAGTCTGTGCAAGGCAAAACCTCCTCTTCGTCTTCTGATTCAGGGGATGCTTCTTTAATTCTTCTGAGAGCTTCATGTATGCTCCGTGTTAGAGGGTCTGTATCAGGCAGAAGTGTGAAGGATTCTCTCAAAACTTCCTTTTGTACCTTCTTCAATTTTACCCCTTTCCTTATTTGTGCCAAGATATTATTGCTATCATCTTCATCAGGAAAAGGAGGCAGAGTTCGCTGTTCAACCTTTTTCAGATGAAAACTACCACGCTTCAAGGAAGCTAGCACCTCATCCATGGGAGAGCTCACTTTGGAAAATGAAACAGAACAATCACAATTAGGATCGCACTCAGAGTCAAACTGTATAACCTCTAGAGTTTTGGACTATGAGAGCCCAGGTCACTAAAACACCATCTACAAAATGAATCATCATGTGTGGGCAGGAGGTTGCCAGAGCACAAGGATCCTGATTATCCTTGTTTAAAAAAGCCTCAAGACTCAACTTCTATGGCAAGTATCGTTGGCATTCCTATCATTTCCTGTGTGAGCAAATTGGGAGCTGGGTGGAAGCTTAGTAATATCACAGGTGAGACTCCCAAAGGATTTCCATGTTGTACCTGCCCAATCCAAATTCAGATAGTGACCTGGTTACACATTTCATTTTTAAAAATTAAATTTTGGTTCATTATGGTGACTGTACTTTTTTCACTTAGTTGTTTTATACGTGAAATTCTACTCAGACTATGGTAAGAAATATTTTACAGAATGCTCTCTCATATTAAAACATAATATGCAAATTGCTTTATATCATGTTCTCCCCATGCAAACTGAAAGCTCCTCAAAGGCAAGGACTATTCCCAGTTCTTTTTAGAAATAACTTTAGAAGCACATCTGACCTGCAATAAATTGCACACATTACTCCCTATTCTTCTTTGCCTCTTTCTACAAAGAATATACAAAGGTGACCAAATGTTACATGATCCTGCCAATGTCTTTCCAGTGTGACAGTATTGACCAGACAGCTTATCCTTTCTGAAGGGAGTGCTTTTATCTCCCAGGCTTAAAATCAGATTTTGGATCCTATGGCAATCCCACTACTGGGTATATACCCAAAGGAATGGAAATCATCATATCAAAGGGATACCTGCACCCTCATGTTTATCACAGCTCTATTTACAGCAGACAAGATACAGAATCAACCTAAATGTCCATCGACAGATGACTGGATAAGGAAAATGTGGTATATATACAAAATGGAATACTACTCAGCCATAGAATGAAATTTTGCTATTCGCAGCAACATGGATGAGTTTGGAGAAAATTATATTAAGTGAAATAAGCCAGGCACAGAAAGAGAAATACAGCATGTCCTCACTCATAAGTGGGAGCTAAAAGATAAATAAATAAATAAATAAATAAATAAACAAAAATCAAAATAATACACTGAACTTTCAAAAGGAGAGAACAGAACTGTGGCTACTAGAGGTTTGAAAGGGGGAGTGGCAGGAAAGGGGGTTTAATCTAGAAATTGGTGAAGGGTCACAAAGATCACGTTTTGTAATGATGAATATATTAAGTATCCTGATTTGATCATCATATATTATACATAGGTATTGATATTCAACTATGTACTCTACAAATGTTTTAATAAAAAAAATTCTTTTTAATCGGATTTGTTTTTCTGACACAAAAGGAGTCACCGACTATGCATTACCAAATAGATCACTTCAGAAGATATATTTTTAAAACATGCTTAACAGCTCAAGAAGGTACACATTTCTGTGTACCTGTACACATATGTTGATATGGGTTGGTAAAAATTCTCCTTTGCCGCAACCTTGCAACCCCGTTTACCATCAAATAATGTTCAAAAAATAAAATAATGTTTTAAGCTTTGCAAGATCAAATGAAATATAAAGTTCTTTGATTATGCCTCACTTTATACAACAGATGGACATGAACATATGTTTTTAACTTACCTCTCCTCCTTTGCAAACCTTCAGCAGTCTTTCTGAGCTTCTTCCGGGCACTGACAAGCTGGCTGCTGTCAAACAGGTGTGCTGAGGGGGCACTGGCAGACTTAGGGATCCTCTTCTCGTTCCCCTCCTTGGTGGGCAGACCTTTCTCCAGTGTCTCTGGGGTGTTGTCCTTAGCAACAGGCAAAGGTGGTGGAGGTGGGGGAGGGGGCG